GTTGTAATGTGACAAAATATGGAAAACTTCAAGGGGTATGAATACTTTTGCAAACCACTGTAAGTTCTTCAGTTTAACAGCCACGGCTCGCCCTGCAGTTATCACCTTTCAAAGCTGACTTTGTTGCTCACAGATTTGGTTTAATTGCTGGATGAGTTTGTGATAGCCAACGTTGCCTTGGCCCACATTTTCTTGGTTTTTCTCATTCTCTGGTTTACGGCGGTGTTTCAGATGATTAAACAAATTTGTAGTGTTAGTGTTTATAGCTCTGTGCTGCATTCGGTCATTCTTGTTCTATCATGCATGTTTATTAGTGAGAGTAGTTTCACACAAGAATTTGTCGTCATCTTGTTGCGCTAATCGTACTAATCACAAAGTGGTAAATAGGGACGTTTTTCTGACAGTTAAYGGTACATCGCATGATTTCGCACAAGTCTACTTGTTCTTGAGCAACGTTTACGATCATACTGATTTTGTGACTTCGTTAAGTTGGGTTTGACCCTCAAACTTCTGAGGTAAAAAGGATGCAGCATCAATGTGGAGGTGGTTAGCTCAGCTTAGATAACACAAGATCACTGTGTCCAAATTCAAAAAGCCAGACAGCTTAAAAGAAGAACTTTAAAAGGACTTGATAAATTTAACTTGAACTAAAAAAGTAAAATATGTTCCTTTCAGCAGCTAGTTATCTGTGTGTGCTCCCATTCGTTCTACAAGCTGAACTAACAGGCTGCCATAAGCAGAATCAGATGTTAGATTAAAAATTATCTCCTTGGTTATAAAAATGTTCTTGTGGCCGTTGAAAGATTTTAGCTAAAAAGAGACATTATGAAGCAAAGTGTTCGATTTTTGGTGGCTTCTTACGAACTCAGTGTAATGATCAGAAACATTTTCAAAGACTTAATTACACACCAGAGTTCAGAAATATACACACAACTACACAGATACACTCCTCAGTTGCTGCTCATCATTTTTCATATTTCTGTCAATCAATGAAATTCATTCCACTACTGTCATCCCTTTGTCCTGACCAGAGCAACTCGATCGTGTTGAAGAAGGCATGAACCATATCAACCAAGACATGAAGGAAGCCGAGAAAAATTTAAAAGATTTAGGGAAATGCTGTGGGCTTTTCATATGTCCATGTAACAAGTAGGTACTGACAATGTGCCCCGAAGGTTCTTGACATATGTGGTGGCGTCCAGTTTTTCCTTCTTCGTTTTGTTTTACTTTCTTTCGTCATAGTGAGTGTCTGAAGTTGTTGTCTTCTCTCCTTTGTCTTCTCTCTCTCTCTCTCTCTCTCTCTCTCTCTCTCTCTCTCCTCTTCTTCCTCTCTCTTTCCGTGCTTCGTTCTGTGGGGGATATATGACTTGTGTTTAATCAGAGCAACTGGAGCGCATCGAGGAGGGAATGGACCAAATCAATAAGGACATGAAGGATGCAGAAAAGAATTTGAACGATCTAGGGAAATTCTGTGGTCTTTGCTCCTGTCCATGTAACAAGTAGGTGCTGCTTGCCTGCCTGCCTGCCTGCCATTCAAAAATGCGACTAAATATCTAAGAAATCAAAAACACCAGAGGAAGAAGTGACATCATGATGGTCATTAGCCAATAGTCTGCTCTGCTCCAGCTCTATATAAACAATTTTTCTGGGGGWTTTTTGTTTCACAGATAGCTCTTTAAATTATTCCCAATCCCACCCACGTTAAGAAACCAGTCAATTTAAAGTCGAACTGAAATGAAAATTTTTTAGCTTGATAGGAACTGGTAATTATGTGGTCAGTGCCACAGTCTAATAATCTTGAGGATGCTAGTCTGAGTCCAGGTTGTGTCAGGGAGGATTGCTGTAGTGACCCTGCAGAAGGGAGCAGACAAAAAAACAACAGCTCAATCTGCCGTAGTATGTTTTAGCACACTAAGCCTGGCATTTACTCTGCCATTTCAAGGATTTGCTCAAGTTGTAATAAACAGTTCAATATTATAAAATTCATAGTAATTCAGKAGTTGAACTGTAAAACCTCTGCCAAATCGTGTACATCACAACACATCCCATTGAATTATCCATACAACCATGAATCAAAAACAAGCGCTGATGCTTTTTTTATTAGATGTTCGGACAACAAAAAGTCAGGGAGGATGAAGATAAAACAGATCACTGTGAACACTCAATTTGTCATAGGTTTTCTTTGATCGTAGAGTTCAAAATGAACTGTCTTTATCACACTGAAGGACCACACACTGTCAATATCCCAATGAATTATGTATTTTTTGTCTCCCAAACAGATCCAGATTATTTAAAAATAAAGACTGGCTGAAACTAAGTCCTGATATCTGCTTTATTTTGCATTTAAAATGCATTTACAATTTTTACACAGATCAGGTTATGTAGTGTTAGAAGTGTTTCCTCCACAATGATTGGTTGATAGTCCACAGCAATACTTTTTGTCACCTGTTCTGTGACTCTTTTATCCTAATAAACATCCATGGAAAGTTTTCTCTTTAGTTTTTTTTTAATTTAAATAAATTGATGGGAGATCTACTTCTAATGGAATACCCACATTGTGAACAATGGGCCTCATGCAAGAAC